TCTTGCCTTCATAGCCCGATGTATTTTTTCCTCTTTAATTTGTCTATACTGGAGATTGGATTCACATTCTCCATCATTCCAGCCACACTATCCAACCTTCTATCAACAACAAAAACAATTTCATTTTATGGCTGGCTAATTCAGTGCTACTTTTATTTTTTTCTTGGAGTGGCAGAGTTTCTCCTCTTGGCTGTTATGTCCTTTGATCGCTACATAGCAATATGCAATCCTTTACACTACCATTCTGTTATGAACGTCAGAGTCTGTATTTACCTTGTCCTTTCTTGCTGGCTTACAGGATATTTCTTTATGATGTGGCCTGTGGCTGCTATAGCCAACTTGCCATTCTGCAGATCTAATATCATTGATCATTTTTTTTGTGACATTGAACCTCTTCTTGCTCTTGCTTGTTCCAACACACACTACACTGAGCTTTTGGATTTCTCAATAGCTATCATTGTCCTTTTGGGATTGTTGACAATAACGGCTGTATCCTATATTTATATCATCACCACAGTGCTAAAAATCCCATCCACCACTGGAAGACAGAAGGCCTTCTCCACTTGTAGTGCCCACATCATAGTGGCTTCCTTATATTATGGAAGCGCAATATTTATGTATCTGAGGCCATCAAATTCACCATCTCTAGATCTCAAGAAAGTTGTGAGCATCTTAACAGCGGTAATAACTCCAACGCTCAATCCTTTCATTTACACACTGAGAAACAAAAAAGTGAAAGAGGCCGTCAGAGACTTAATAAGACAAAGATAATAGTCACACATGATGGTGCAAGAAATAGTGAAATGTTCTGTGCTTTCTGTGATCACACATAATTATTTTCAATATTGCAGAAAGAAGAAAAATGTTTAAAAAATTGAAAAAACCTGTTTGGTTTTCTACGGAAAATCTGTAAGGGAGCAAAATTGTTCATGAATGATGTACCAGCAGTACATCATTGCTCTATTGTTCATACTTTTGTAAGAAACAAGGAAATTCTGGGACACAACTAAATTCATTTTCATTTGGTTCTGTAAAACTAAACTGAACAAATGTAATATGAAGGTGGATGTCCAAATACTATGTTCAAATTCTTTTTTTAATTTTTATTAGCATAAGACAATCCCACCTAAATAGTGATAATTACATTACTACATAATTCCAAGGCCGGCTACTTCATAGTCTCAGTCTGTCTTTGTGTCTAATGTTTTTTACACAAGTTTAATTATTTTCTGTTGTATATGTTAAAGATTGAGACTAGAGCCAGTTTGGTGTAGTGATTTGGGCATCAGGCTAGAAACTGGGAGACCATAAGTTCTAGTCCTGCGTTAGGCAAGAAACCAGCTGGGTGACCTTGGACCAGTCACCCTCTCTCAGCCCAAAGAAGAAGGCAACGGCAAACCGCTTCAGAAATCTTGCAAAGAAAACTGCAGTGACTTCTCCAGGAAGTTGCCAGGAGGCAACACTGAATTGAAGGCACAAAAACACACACACACACACACACACACACACAC